ACATACATACATACATAAAAACATACACACATATCCATTAAGGAATATGACAAAACAAAAGACGGATTTGTATAGGTTTAAAGCGGGATATGTGGAAGGCTTATCCAATAATACACCCGCTAAAAGGTGTTTGCATTAATACGAGTATTTAAGTGAATTGGCAACTACTACGTTAACAAATTCTTATACAATAATTCTTTGTATAGTGCATAAGGTATTTTGTTTATAGACCATTCAATTAGCACTAATCTTCTAAAATTAGAAAGAAATAAATGAATTACCAAACAGCCTCCACACAATGACATAAAGACAGTTGTACTGATCTGCATCAGAATCCTAGTTCCAGAAAGAGAAAGCAGAAGAGTTTCAGATTAAAAAAAGTTTCTCTACTTAGCGATAGAATTGTATGCAGATGTTTGCTGGTGTGAAGGTAAGTGCGAATAACACTACTGTCTAAATTACATTTAATCACAATATTGAATGTATTATGCGCTTATTTTACTAATTAAGCAATTTTGTAAAAGCAATCGACTTTAAATATTTTTTTCAACATAGGAACAAAATAAAACTGCAAAGACCAGATAGAAAATAAATTTTCATAACATGATACCAAAATTGAGGGAAGGCATTTTTGATCGAATCCTTTGGCATTGATTGTGTCTCTGGGAAGTAAAATAAATTGTAAAAAAAAGTGTTTGAAAGCACTATAATTTTGGCCATGTTTTCTTCATATTTGTTAAGGAAATTGGAAGAAGGGATGTGAGCAAATAAAAAGTTGTTAAAATATTTTTTTTTAATATGCGCCCGATATTTTTTGAAAGAATATATAAGTTTGATCGGAAACATGCCATAATTGATAAAAAGAACAAAATGGTGGATAGACTATGGCCCACAAGAAAGATAACAGTTTTCTCACAGTCCAATTTAAATGTCTTTTAATACTGAGTGTTGCCCCCATTGCAATATTGATTTTATTTGCATTTGATTTTATAAATTTTATTGTATTTATTAATATTTCAACCAATAAAAGTTTACAAATTTAAACTTCAAAAATGAAAACATTTTTTAAAAAAAAACTTTAAACAAACTTTTACTACTTGGGACTCAATTAAAGATATTCAAGTATCTTTTAGTTTTATAGCCCGAAAAAGGTAAAGTTTTCTACAAAGCAAACACCCATTGCATATATACGTAAATGACCATCTGTATTTACGCGATTTAGTCCCTTAGTTTTGAAATATCTATTGAAAATTTTAAGTACACCTTTTTTTCCACAAGAACCATCCAATTTGCCGGAATCGCCGATATCGAACTACTATAGCATATAGTAGCCATACAAATTTAATGATCACAATTAAGTTATTGTATGGAAAACTTTTTTATCTTCACGAAATTTTACACGAAGTATTGTTAAAAAGAAACAGTTCAATTTGCGAAAAATTGTTCAGATCGAACTACTATAAAATATAAGTAGTTACGCTTTGAGATTTGTTTGTACCCTTCAATACTAAATTTCTAATGATCATCTTCGTGTTGGTAGTGTTAACCCAGATTTTTTCTAATTAACATTTGTTTTTGCTAGATTCTGAAACTTTTCTTCAAACAATAATTTCTGCCGAAATAAATGTTTTAAATTTTGAAGTATATTTTACAAACAGAAATTGTGTATTAATTTCTAGAATTGGGACTTATTTCATCGAATGTAAATGCAAATTCGATGATGATTTTGCAAAAAACGGCTCCGCTAAGACCTTCTGAAGGAATAAATGAATAACTATGCCAACTTTCACGACTTTCCTTGCTGTGGTTCTGACGTACCTTACGAAAAAGCGTTTTATTTTTATATGTAAGATTAACATCATGTGTTTCACAGCTTCATAATTATCAAGAAAAAAGATTAAAGCTTAGCAGAAAAATAATTCAAATAATAGAATTTGAAATGAGTAATAAAAGTGGCAGTATTGCAACCAATGTATGTCATCACAAAAACTAGTAGGATTTTACTTTAGATATTATATTTCTATTTATTAATTAATTTCTTATACAAATTTGAGAATAAATAAATGAAACCCTCTTTTTCTATGTCAGAAATAAAAGTACGATAGTTGTACTCCGAAATACGTCTATGAAATCGTGAGACCATGTCCAAATCTAACAAAAGTTGTTCGCGCACCAAGCACTTCTAAGCAAATGATTGCTAGCTTTTTTTGTAACAACGCAGAACAATAAATTCTTAGTGATACACAACCAGCTGTTTGCCAGAAGACGGATCACTCTTCACTACGACAATGCAAATTGTCACATATCGACTGAAACAACTGCATTCTTGAGTACTGTTGGATGAATCATCCAACGTATAGTCTGTCTGAGAATGATCTAATTGAACGGTTTATAATTATTTTTATGGATAATACGACGACATTCGGAGGGAATTGGTGCAGGGGTCGCAGGACCACGTGCAAAACTCTCCATACCTATGGGAAGGCTTCCGAGCATATTCCAAGCGGAGGTATTTGCTATAAGTCGGTGCGTAGAGTTAAACCTCCATCGCGGCTATCGCAACGAACGTATAGCCACACTAAGCGATAGCCAAGAGGCACTCAGGGCGATCTCATCATACGAGGTAAAATCGCTATTGGTGCAGGAGTGTATAGACCGGCTGAATATTCTTGCAGAATGCAACCAAGTGCACCTTATTTGGGTGCCGGGCCACAAAGTCATTGCTGGAAACGAACTGGCCGATGAGCTTGCCCGCGCTGCAGCATCCACCAACATGGTAGGGCCAGAAGMCTTCATAGCGGTAGGTCCCCACACCATAAAGGAACAGTTCCGCAAGGATGCAGCAGTGGGTAGGGAGATACATTGGCAACAACTTCCAGGCTTGCGTCACGCAAAGCTGCTAATGAAGGGTTACAACCTCAAGAGGTTTAAACTCATAATCAATCTCATTGCAAACTCAAGAAACACTTATTTAACATGGGCCTAGCTTCTTGCGCAAATTGCCGATTCTGCGACTGGGAATCCGAAACTCCAGAACACCTGCTAATGGATTGCCCAGCAATTTGCAGACGCAGGATTAAGGAACTTGGATCCATGTTTCTAAATAGGGATCACATCGCCTCATTAGCACCTAGCAGGATATTGGAATTCATCAATTTGCTGGGGCTAAGTGAGACGCTGTGARTTAGTAGAGGGCACAATAGACCCTAGGTCGCGGTGCAATCCTCATTCTTTATCTTATCTTATCTTACGACGACATTAACATTTATTAAATCAGTGATACATGCTTTTAAAGTTTAAGTGTTTTTCGCGGGTGTATAACGTCTGTCTCTTATACACATCTAGATGTGTATAAGAGACAGCAATAGACCCTAGGTCGCGGTGCAATCCTCATTCTTTATCTTATCTTATCTTACGACGACATTAACATTTATTAAATCAGTGATACATGCTTTTAAAGTTTAAGTGTTTTTCGCGGGTGACAACCAAAATCTCGAAATTTAGAATCACGACAAGTTAAAATACCGATAAATCAAAACACCGACAAATCAAGTAAAGGTGGCGTTGTTCGTTAGAAGCCCTCCGGCCACGAACACGCTCAGGATCATAACCCTTAGTCAGAAGAATTCTCTCTCTGTGCGTCGATAGGAAAAAGGCGGACAAGATAAAATATTTTTCACATGTCGGCATTTTGGTTTCTCGGTATGTTAATTTTCACGTGTTCTAATTTGTCGGTTTTTTGAGTTAGCTTCATATTTAAATTATGTCGGTATTTTAATGTGTCGACATTTTAAACTTAGATATTTTAAGTGTATCACAATTTCTAAACTTTAAGCCATTTTTACAACGCCCTTCCAAACAACTGCACCGCTCCTTTTGAAATTTCATACACTATTTCTTTCCATATTATGGTAATAAACCAGCACCAAGTTATGAGAGACACCACAATTCGATATTTTTCCGAGACGCTCCAGAACAATTGCTACCATTAGCTTATTTTTCAAAATTAATATTCATCTAATATCATAGTATAATGTACCATTGGTTTTTAAAAATAGATTTCAAGCGTTTCATCAAAATATCATAAAAATAGTTTTGTACGATTTAACCCTACTCAACCCTTAACACATAATTACATAATTTATTTTCAATATATTATTCACTAAACTAAATTCAAGCTAACAAACCCTTGCTAATAGCTAACATTTCGACTACTGTATATGTTTCGATAACACTTTCTATGTTTACTATGATAATATCAGTCCAGTGACAGCACGATATGCGATATTAAGGCCAAGTAATTTGGAATAAAGATTTCGATAAGAATATATACTATGTAGATGGAAAACTTTAAACTTTATATTTTTGCACGTTTAGAATCACCTTTGATTTCAAATTACATTGCTGTAAATGTTCTCCGACGTTTTGAGGTATTTGCGTGTCCTCATACTCCAAGAACAAGCTTAGGTACTATTTATTATTGATCGCCTATTTTTATACATATAAATTATAGGAACGTTAAATCTGACAAGTATGAGTGAAATAAGATGAAACGAGTGATTCTTCAACAAGATAATTCTAACTCTGCCAAATTGATTCTTAATCCGACCAAAACGAGAAATCGACCATTTCGAATTTTTTAATTGGTATATTGTTTGGCGTAGAAACTACGTTGATAAAATATAATAAAATAAAATGTTTCAACCACCATAATTAATATTTCATTGTTGCAGCAGAAATAAACACTGCAATTCATTTCTATCTTCTGATAAGCGGCAAGCGACGTCAAGAACGAACTTTAGTACTGGGATTTTTATTTCAAAATATGCCACGATTCAAATATTTATTTTACTTTATTTTTGGTAACGAATTTTAAAAATCCAGTGAATTAACTAAGCTTATTACTATTTACATATACTATACATATACAAATCTTATATTTTCAAGATGTGAAAGTGTACAATTGTGTTGTTTGGTTTCTTAGGTAGCAAAGTACTTACATATCTTTTTTGAAACATTTCCGCTTAGAGACGGCGAGGAGTCAATTTTATTTGTCCTTGCTCGAATATCTCTGGTTTGATATTTAATATTCGGAACAGATAGTAGACGCTGATCTCTTTGCTTTTCTTTAAAATTTTGGCGCGCTGTTTTAGCGCACACATTATCTCCCTGATTGGTATCACTTGTTGCAGAAAGAGGCAAATCACTAGGTCGTGAAGTTTGGGAACCCTCAGTTGTCTCTTTTTCGAACTCCACTTTTTTCATGCTTGTTTGAAATTCATTTGTAATGTCAAAAATATCACCGTCATCTGTCGTATCATCGTTTGAATGTGAATTTGCATTAATACTACCTTTTGTAGCAAAACTACTTATTTGTTGGCCTTCACAATCACGTGGTTCGGAATCATGTTCCCTGCCGAAATCATAGGAATTATCTTTACTCTCACTTCTAATGTTTTTGTCTTTTGGTGATACATTTTCACCACTACTTTCAATGGGCGATGATTCTTTTTGCGTGTAAAACACTGAATTGTTTTTCATAGAATCGATTTCTGTATTCACATTGATTCCAATTTTCATATTGACTTTAGATAATTGACGTTTAAGGTTAAAAGTTTTCCATGACATTGACTTTCTTCTGTCCTGCAGTTCTTTTGGCGCTACGACGGTTTCCTCGCGAAGTGGACTCTTTGTCACAACATTCGTTGATGTAACTTCATTTTCCGGAGATGTAGGTCGCGATGAATTTGACTGATTTTGGTAAGATGAAAAAGGCTCATTTGTTTCGGGAATAAATTCAATGGATGGGCTGTCAGGACTAGTGGTGTCGTTCAGCTATAGTAATTTATAATAATTTAAGCAAAAAATGAGGATAATTTTGCATACTTTGGATTCAACAACGAACATATAGCGTTTGTGAAAAGTAGTGTGTCCTTTTCATGTTGTTTAGTGCGGTACAAGTTGGACATATTTAAAATATAAGCATTAGGGAGATGAGACTTAAGGTTCGTTTTTTATTGTAAAAATGCAGAGATGTTTGGCAACATTAAACCCCGAAAAAAATAACTACATTATTAGCAAAGGTTTACTGCAAGGACATTCATAAAACTATATACAAAATTACAACACATATAATTATATAGCTCTTTTAGGAATTCATAGAAAAAAATAAACAAATAAGTGTATTTCTTTAGACCTTAATAATTTCAGTTAATGCTTATTTTAGGTCGACTTTGGCATGAATTTTCATCCGGGTATGTATTATGTAATCGCGTTTTAGAGTCAGTAAAGCATTATTGGCACTGCACTTTACCTCTATATTATAAGGCGAAGAAGTGGAAAAACTACTAAGACTTCATTCAAGAAAATGTTCAAAATATATGTAATACATGCGTTTTGCTACGTAAACAAAATATTTTAGTATTAGACTTATGCTGTGTTAATTATAATGATCCTTTGAAATATCTTTATTTGTTTAAAATAGTATTATTATTGAACCTGTAATATTGCGGAGCACAGAAATAATAGTAAATGGGCAATAAGTCAATTGAGCCTGGGTGGATAAAAGAATATCTGACTTGACGGAGTGTTGTAAAGTAAAATAATTGAATTATTATGAATTAGCATTAGAGAAAACTTTTGGGACCATAGCTTACTTCACAAAACATTATTTCTAACCTTTCTTCATGTGTCTTAGAAAACCGAGAAAAGATTTAGGAAATTCAAAATATGGTACAATTCAAGACTGATAGAAAACATTGTGATACTCTACGTCATAAATGATACGAAGGGTCCAATTATAAACAAAACTTTCCTAAGTCCACTAACAATTTGAGTCCTTATTGCGATATGCAACAACAAAATTCAGGAAACAAGAAACGTGTTTGAAACATTTGACGAAAAGAGATTGTTAAAAAGTGTAAGATAAAAATATATTTACTGGCTTTAGGTCAACAATTATTATTAAGCACGAGCAGCATATTATGCAAAGTTAGTAGAAATTAGCTGGCAGCGGACTTTGACAAAGAAGACCGAGCGGCATAAGTTATTCCGATTTGAACAATACACTCCACATTTCTTATAGGAAATCCGATGAACAACGAAAGATAGATATTAAAAGTATTGTTTATAAATTAAAAACTATGGAAAATGATTGAACGAAGTTCTTTATAAATGGTAGATTACAAGGAAATAACGTGCATTACATCTTTGCAGCATACTTTCGTTTCATTATAACCAGCGCATGCATTCAATAAGTTTAATGAAACAAATTTGGAAAGACATCAATTAGTCGAATATCCTTATGGTGCATGGTCTAATCTTACCAGAACGTATAAACTTTTATGTATAATAATTTCAATTATATGTAAATAATCTGCCAGATTTTAAATAATGGATGTTTAGAATATGGCAACGTTTCCTACAGGAAAAGATCACTTAACCATTGAAAAATATTGGTCGCAATTTCCCACGGAACCCAATTTTTAACAATAAGGAAGGGCTAAGTTCGGGAACAACCGAACATTTTATACTTTTGCAACTTACAAACCCAGGGAGATACTTTAAGGTGCAAAACCAATCATAGAAAGCAATGTCAGACGGATGTTCGAAAATACTAATATTGGTTATATAGGGGCTAGGTCAAGTTTTCCCTCAAATTTATCTATTT